CTTTTACATAATGATTTATGAGATTAGTTGTCAACGTGTTCTGGATGAATTCTTCAATGTATATAAAATAATTTATTAGCCCAGAAAAAGAAAATTCTTATCTTTATGGTGTAACCAATCACGTGTAAAAGTCAAGGTTGTTTTATCTATTGTCATTTGGTATATTCTCTTATCACACATAAATGTAAATAACATTTGGGATTAGATTTCTTCTTTTTCTTTTTGATAAACACAATTTAAACAAACAAAATAAATCATTAGTTGACTATTATTGTTTTCAAAGGTAAAACAATTCATCCAATAAATGTAGATCCCAGTTCTTGTTTTAGTGACCTATCAGTAGTCAAATAGTATGTAACATAAAATATTTTCCACTTCATTTAAAAAGCATTATTCCAAGGAATAGTTCCGATAAACTTCGACATTGACAATGATCATTATGTTTTGAACTAAAATGTTAAATAAAATACGCCTAATCAGATAAATGTAATTAACACGCATATAATCCAAACACAATATAGAATTAGATTAATAGTAAGTACTGGACAAACAGGAGATCGACAACTGCTCAATGATCAATTAATGTAAGAATCTTAGGCCTAAATAATTAGCAGCAACATCTCAGACTGTGTAACTGGATAACTCGGATTCCAATACACCATAGAGCATCAGTTTCTACAGGATTGTAGGCATATCCTGCTGACGAGTGCCAACTAGAACGAAACCTAGTTCAGAGTTTCCTGAGGACTTCCTTCAACCACCATATATTCAAATATATAAAGTGATTTAGTAATTTGACTAGAGAGGTCTTGTTTGCGAAAATTCTGACAATTTTTAAATAAGAAAGAGTGCTAAAATTCACTTTGTATATAACTGACATCAGATTAAAAGTTGATGACTGGGAATTTTCAGTCTTTTATGAGTACGTAAGGACGATCGGAAAGCTTTAAGGCGAATATATTTCTTCTCTTTCAATAAAAAAACAATGAAATTAGTATCATACATACTGGTGAACACTTTCATAAGTGGCTAAGCAAGAATATAATCCAGGTAGTAGAAAACTCAATTTGATTTTATTCAGGTAAAAAAGATCATAAGTTAGTCGTTTTCAATAAACTGCCCTGATTGTGGTAATCCACCAAAAACTGATCAGATTCTGGATATTTCGAATGGGGGGGTAGATAAATGGTTAAATAAATAGTGAAAGTAACCAGAGCTCTGGAAATAAGAGAAGGCGATTCAACTTTTCCCACTCTCATCAGTAGATAATCATCTCGATGGTGCATATACCTTTTGTATTTTTATATATTTTCAGAAGTTAAATTTATCAAATCTAATTATTTTTATTCTTATATTTGAAAAGATTATAACTTCATGACGAGTATCTGATTTGTTTATTAATTACAACATTACTTATTTCACTCAGATATTTGCGTTCTACTAGGTAACAAACATTTCGATTAACAATAGAATAACTTCAGTTAAGAACTGAATCACCATAGAATTTACAATATGTAAATTTCCAAAGTGACTACAATAAAAAAACATTGGATATGTTTGAAAATAATGGTATGAAATTTTAAAAACATATGAAACACCTACAGTTTATTTGAATTATTCAGTACTTTCGATAATTAGAGGAATTAATACTCATACGACTTTAAGATGGTGCAGAACACTTCACTTCTACCTGAAGTTTGTGCTGATGATGTCATTCAGAAGAATGATGAAAGTTCCATGACTAAACCATCCAGATCACAGAACAAAACTTCAAAAAGGGGAATTAACAATCTGCTCATTATGTATACCTGATTAAATTCAAAGTCATTTAGTGAACTGAATATTTTAACTCAGTTCTTTCAACTGACTTTAATTCAGTCATTAAAATCAAAATGAATTAAATGACCGGAACTTCATTAGAACGGATTCTGTGAGCAAGACAAAATCTCATAACGAGCATTTAAGTTGATGAAAATGTGATTTTTTTTTTCGAAACAGAATGTAATAGTTTTGAATCCTTTTTTTGTAAAGAACTACATTAACTACTGGGTAAGATTTTTTGATAGTACATTTTATTTTTTCATTGTTATCAACTGAGATTTACATATATACATAATGTATTGTGAGATTACAGAATGAAATGACATCCTCCCCTCTCAAAAAACAACAACAACAATACATTTTCTTTCGTATATACATGTATGCACACATACATATGCACAACATTCTAAACACACTTTTCAAGTTATTCATAAGATGTACAAATTTGCACTCTATTATGTTCACTTATGAACGTTAAAATAAAATTGTCAATCAAATAACTTTAGTATTTCGTTTATCTAGAATTAGATTTATTCAAAAAAAAATGAAAAAAATGTAGTAGTACGTTTATATTAACACATAAAATAGAAATAAATTTAAAACAAAATTTTACATTTCATCTATGCTATTCATAAGTTTCCCTGTTTTAAATCTCGATTTTTACACCAGATGAAAAAGAGAAAAAAAGATAATCGTAAACATACTACTTTTTTCAAATCTATTTTCAGAGGGTACAACAACTATGAAATTAAATGTTCATGTAATATATTGAGTTAAATAAAATCTCAAAAAAATATCTGATCGTTTCCTTATTTATGAAATAATCGAAGAGAGATTAAGGCCAAGTATAATTAATTTGTTTTGACTAGTGGATATAAGGTTGGTAAATTGATGTTTAAGTGCATAAAAGATCGATGAGATGATTGGTTTTCAAATGAATCAATCTATCACTAAGTTATCTGAGAAGGTAAATATAATTCAAGGGATGACTATCAAGAAAGGGGAATTCTATTATTACTCAATACGAAGAAGTAACGCATCAATTGTCATGATAAAGAGTAGTGACAAGAGGCGATCTCTTTTATTGAGCCCTCACAAGTTATAGCACTTCCTTTGGTCAACCAGGATTTGACACACACACACATATATGCATCTCTTCTGAAGTACTAAACCATCTCTTAGAACATATAACCACGTTATGAGATAGTAAAAGTCTTGGAAGTTTTAATAAGCCTTAGAGAATATCCACTGAACGATACATGAGTCCCTCAGAACACAACATGATGAACCACTTCTAGGAAGCATCTATTTTGTCGCAGATAAGTGAGTTACAGTCTCAAGAGTGGAAAGGTACTCGATCAGGATTTGATCTGAGGTTAATGTGATTAAGAGAGAAAATAAACCAGTTGGTTGAACAGGACCCCATGCCTTCAGTAAACACAAAATAGAAGATGGCAACCTTGAAAGGGTGGGCTACTAAAATAAAGTTCACGTAACGCTCCGGAAATTTCATCTGCACTCTGATAAAATCAGCTACTGAGATAAGATCAATCCTTGGAGCAACTGCCCCTACATAATTCAGAGTCCATTTAATAATAATATCACTGTTATAATAATATATTATATAAATACACAATCATTGTTTGATGGACTGTTGCTATACTATCTTTCTCGATTTTTTCACCACTATATATATCCACATCCATTACATCTAGACCACATAGAGTGAGTATTCAATGGTTCAGTTTTGTTTTTGAAAATCATCAGTCAATGATAACAGACTAACACAATCAAGGACTATTGATGTTGCTTATATATGAGTGAATTCCCATAACTGTTTTATATATTTAGCCCATGTTAACTGGTAAACGAAAAACAACAAAATACTCAATGACAAAAAAATCAGAAAAACAATCTGTTATATTATTTATATAATTACATTCTACAAATAAGAAACATTTATAATTCTTCTCTCACCAAGAGTTTAGAAGAGTAGACTAGTAATTGTGATATTGTCTCTTGTACATTCCCTCTTCATCAACATAAACAAAGACGGCTGCAAGAAACACCGACAGAGACAATAACAGTTCAAAATGGATGAAAAATATACAATCTAGAACAAAATAATTAAAAGAATTATACGATAGACGTACTACACACTTGATGATCAGCACTATTTATTGTAAATTATTCATTTATAATCACAAATAATCAGATCTTAAAAATAGGCAAATAAAAATAACAAACAAACGAACAAATATCAGAATTAGAAAGTGATCACCAAATGTGTTATACGAAAGAAAAGATATACATACACGCACACACATACATACACACAAAAATATAGGGGAGGTAGAATGAAGTTGGTCATAGTTAATTAAGGGATATTATGTGTAGATGAAAAAAAACACACGCACAAAAGATACATACACACACATACACAGTCATAAATAAAAAAGAAATAACTATTTAAAGATGATAGTAACATAAAATGACGTAAGATATTTTTGTGTTACACGTGTTCACTTACTACATTTTTTTGTATTGTTGGTTAAAAATAGATTTCTCATGATGATTATATAATAATCATAATATGTACATGATGTAAGGAAAAATATTTTATCTATAATAAAACAGATTAAAATAATGAATAAAAGGCACTAATACATATAGGGTACATAAGTGAAACAAACAAAGATAACCACTGAGTTAAAGATTAATTAATGTACATGATATTATGTCATTGTTTTTGCAATTTATTATATAATTAAAAAAAAGATGGATATTAACAGTAACAGTGGTAAACATTGTAGTGTTGGCGCTATTTTCCTTGACTTTCTTCTTCTTCTTATTATTATTAAAAAAAAGGAACAAATAATACTTGGAATACAGCAACAAAAGTGATCAAGTCGAAAAAAAACTTTAGAATAAGAAATCATATCAAGATGAAAAGAATATCTAGGATGACTGACGGAGGAAAGGGTTATATGAAGAGAAGGAAAAAGAAGAGAGTGATACAATACATGTTAGGACGATTTATTAATTGATAGAAAGACGTTTACTGGTAGAAGTAGTTGCATTAATAGTAGTACAGTTAGTAGTATTAGTAGTGGTGTTAAGTTTAACCGGTATGCTATTATTATTATTATTATTACTATTATTATTATTATTATTATTATTATTATTATTATTATTATTATTATGAATAACAGACACTAGTGTTTTATTGGTCCGATTAGTTTGACTACCCGGTGATGATTTTGTGTTGCCACTTTCAAATATTTCTTGTAATCTACTGACCATCAGTCTATTCGATGAGTTAGATAATGGTCCACGATGTGAGCTAGGCTGTGAGAAGGAAATTACAAAAAGAAGGAAAACAAAACTAGCACTGTTAACACACAGAAATCAGTAATATTGGTTTTATGTTTGTCATTGGAACAATGACAATGAAAAACAAATAAGGTATTTACTTCAACCCATAACAGTAAACATGACTTACTGCAAAGGATAGTTCATGCAACAACTCATGATCTCACACAAAAAGACGGTTAATACAGACACCTGCAAGTTAAACTGCATTAATTTAATACAAAAAACACATTTAAAATTCTTTGGTTAGCTGGGTTAAAAATTGCATCACTGACTGTAAGTAAAGGGTTATGGAAATCATTGAATTTAATCGAGATCGCAAACAGATTTAAATTAAACCACCATGGAATACCTAGAGGCTCTGGACAGTCGTTTAGTCCTAGCGTAGGACTCTTCAGAGGTGTGCATTCACGATCCCTCACGCAGGAATCGAGTCCAGGACGTTCGGTCTCGCATGCGAACACGTAATCTCTTGACCACTGAATTGGCATTCAACGGTATTAGTTTCTAACTTCAATCAGTGACCAGTGGAGCTAAACCGTGTTGGACGTGAGGCAGTTACCTACTAAAGACAATGGAAGATGGTTGGGGAATTTCATGGATTGATTAAAGTTGGACATGGTTAACATTGAATGCCGATTCAGTGGTCTAGAGATTAGGTGTACGTGACCGAATGTCCTGGACTCGATCCCTGCGTGAGGAGTCGTGAATGCACACCTCTGAGGAGTCCTACGCTGGGACGAAACGACCTCCTAGTGCTTCCAGATTTGCAACGTTTATCTATTTCATATTGGTTCACGATCTCAATGATATTACAGATATTAGACTACTACTACTATTACTATAATTAACATAACAATGTAAAGCTTCTTTTACTTAGTTACATCACTGCAAAGCTAATCATCATCAAATCAATTGATTCATTACTAACCAGTTTATTATTGAATTTCTTTGGAGAAAATTGTGAACTAAATTACATAATGAATAAACAAATACACAGACATTATTTAAAATCAGTCAAATTGACCGAACACAAAATAAAACGTTTTAAAAGATATTTCAATAAGTAAATAAAAAAATATTCAGTTGGCTTTGATTAAATTACCCCAACAAGTACATAACAAGTGTACTATATTTTCTGAAAATTAAACAGTAAGGAAAATGGAAAAAAAGAGAAATATGCATGCTCCATAAAAATTAAACTGCTTACTTTGGCAATATTAGACTTTCAAAGATAAACATTGGCAATGTACATAGCAGTGAACAGGAGTAGAACTATGGATCAGTGGTTTATTATTTCGAAATTTGAACATTGGACTACTTATTCCTAACATCACTGTCCTTACTGTTATTTAAAAATCTTAAAACAAGAAAAACCTTCACGAAATAAGGATGCCAATTCAAAACCTGGTATATAATTTATTGTGGTTAATAGTTCACTTGTGATTACTGACAGATAGAGAGATTTAATGATCTATACAAATTCTATTCGTTATAGGCAGAATTGAAGATATTGTGAGCAAAGATGGATAGTGACTAGCAGTGGAATCCAGGACGCGCATTTCGTCCTACGCACAGTATGCACATATTTCAACAAGAGACTGGTCAATTGCAGTCTTAAACATCAATGGGAAGATTCAAACAAACAATACCAAGTGAATTTAAAGTTGAATATATTTTTGACTGCGAACTGACATCAACTGTAGAGCCATTAAAAATTAAGGCCCACTGAACAAATTTCTTCTCTTATTCACTAACATTTAAAATGTTAGCAAACGTCAACTTTATATGGGATCGAATATACGATGTTCAGGTTTCACAGTTAGTATGTTACAATATGGAATCGAGGTTATAAACTTATAGATCATAGATCCAATAGTTTGCTGATGATATTTGGTTTTCAATAATCCTCTCTAGCTTGAAAAGTTCTGATTTGAAAATTATCTTCAAGTTAATCATTATTAAACTAGAAGGCACATAAACTAATCTTAACTCCAGTTGAGTATATTTAGGGAGAGCAACGATAGGCTTTTTTTTAGAAAAAAACCTTACTAAATCAGTTCCCGTACAACTAACGTAGTAGGTATCACCGAATCAATACAAACATATCATGTTTCAGATTGGCTGACATTTAAATACATTACTAATAGGAATCCATCTCAATCCTAATTTTTATACATCAATAGTACACAGAACAGCTGTAAATATTAAAATACAACTGTATAACTAAAGTTAGTTAGGTGATAATCCATATTACCGAAGAGAAGAAACAACTAAGATTGAGCAGTAAGTCAGTGTTGAATAATATCTCGACAAGGATCATAGAATCTTAGTATTTGGAATATTTTCTAAAACAATTTCAAACAAACAATCAATTACAAATATCAAACAATACGAGATAACTATTTGATTATAATTTGGGGACTATTATCTTTGTGAATTTATCTTGTAAGTTGTTTAGTACAAAACAAACAAGGTACAAAAGTTGTACTAATGGATCTGTAGTTTTCTTTTCAGTTGATTATCACTTTATAATAAACATTATATTTGATGCTGTCATGCTAGTTTTATTCAAATTTATTTCACAAATGCAATATGAGATTCGGAGAAGAGAAATTATAGAACAAAACGCACATCCTAGACACTACTGCTAGCCACATTCGATCAATTCTAGATTAATTTGTGATATAATGGCAATATCAAGGCAATTCACACAGGATGGCACATATACTAACCAAAAGTGATCAAATTTCAGTCAAAATATCAACAACGAGATAATCCAAACCATCAAAAATCAAATTAAAATTAATACCCCTCATACAGTTTTGAAGCTATCTGAATTCAGTAGCTAAGTGAATAATACGTTAAGGTTCTTAATCGAAAAGTAGCGGGTTCAAATCCCGGAGAAAACATCAACCTTGGGATGAAGATACGCCCAAATGACGAGTCCTAGCGAGTATGAAACACGGGCTCAAGATCCTAATGCTAGCTATTTTCTATCTACTCACTGTTGAGAAGAAATTATGTTCTTACAATTTACCACGAAAATCCAGTTGGAAATTTGAATGCTTATGCTACCAGTGTGCTTACCAATTACCAAAGAGAAATCGGTAATCAAAACATTAATAATCTTAGCTTGTAATAGAAGTATGAAGCAAATCAAGATATACAGTGATTTCAACATCAATCAAATCAAATAAACCGAAATATACATGTGCTGAACATGTTTAAGGGTAATCAGAATAAGAGTTTTAGAAAACTTAGTTCTCGTCCAGCCTGTCGAGTTAAGAGAAATATTAAATTATAATGAAAACTAAAAAAGAAAACAATATTGCTTATGAGTATGTAATTAAGATAGGAGTTTGTGATAGTTAGACAGAAAAATAAAAATAGGACACTCTAACCCTAAATTCCAGCTCTCCCCTCCTCCGTTAAGAATATACACATAGTCAACTGACCTTTTCATTTGGATATCCATTTACCAAAGGACGATTAACACATGTTGTTTCAGCTAGTTGATTCATTCCTAAAGTTTGAAATCTACGAACAATTTTCAAGTCAGCCATGTTACCATTGTTGTTAATAGTAGTATTGGTAGTAGTCATGGGATTATTATTATTATTCATAGGATTAGCAGTGATTTCTAATTCTTTAACCGCTCTAGAAACAGCGCCGAAAGATGAATAGGATTGTTTAATATTAGTTTCGTCTGAAGATTTCAATGAATTAGTTTTATTGACAATCACCTCTTTAGTGACCAATTGAATAAAATTAAGACTTTTATTGGTAGTATTAGTAGTGGTATCAGTAGTATTAGAAATAGTATTTTTGTTGCTAGGACTAGTAGCAGTGGTAGTAGTATTAGCGAAAGTGGAGGAAGAATTACCAGTTGACTTAGCTGGAACAGATAACTGATGATTACTAGAAGAATCAACTTCATTCTAAGAAAATTAAAAGAAAGGAATACAAACAAAAAAAAAAGAAACATTTATTATACAAAGAATAAAAATCAAATCAATAAAATTATCTTTGTTAATGATACTCATTACTATAAGAGGTTCATGTAGAATGTTTAATTTCGTACTTCACATCATAGACTGACCTTGGACAATTATAGAAAGTACTGGAAAGATGTTTCATTGAAGAAAGGAATTCAACAATCCTCAAAAATTCCCATCCCATAAAAATAATAATTGTACTCACTAGAGACTACTCTCGGGAGGTAATTCCTGGAGTTCTAGTAAGAAGCCTTGACCATTAAAGTTCAAGCACATCGAGTGTGAGGCAGGTAAATACTAATGGCACTGAACAATGACTATCTAATATTGCAAACTAGTTAGTTATACATGTGAGCAATTAAATATTCCCTCAGTGATCCAAAGGTTAAGCACTTGTCACAAGGCCTAAGGGTTCGCGGTTCAATCGTTAGTGGGGATCAGTCTGTGATGTAAACGATGGAATTATTAATACTAATTTATCAACTGTTTAGCCAAACTACAAATTCAATCTAATTCTGTGCTAAACATAGAATCTTTTACAAAAGTGGCTTTTATGGCAAAACTTGAAGAATGTTGATCCAGAACGTTTAGATCTTAGTCAACATTGCTCAAGATAATAACAAAGGTTGATTACCAATCAGTCAAAATTATTAACAACAGGATAATTCAAATCACTTTTAATGATATTGTGGTGTATACTATTTATGTCTATGTAACAGTCAGAAGAGGAATGAATGGCAGCAAAAAGCTATGAAGTTCGACTTGAAGAAAACAGAAACGCAAGTAGAAGGGAATTGTGACCTGGAAGAATCATACAGAATATGAAGGACAAATGGTGGGATTTCGCAAATGAAGTATTCAATGTATGGTCCTCATATTTTACCAAGAGATTCTGTAATTTCGTATTGAACAGTTAATTGGTCGTACCTGCCTGTGTTCTCGTTCGTGAAAATATTAGTAATGTAAGATCTTACTCCTTCCATATTGGATAGTCAACCTAAGAATCTTGTTTGTAAACTCAAATGCATAAATCTAATTACTTGACTTAACAGTTTTATTAACGGATTATTTACTAGAGTAGTCTATTTTACTAAGATTAGTATTTTTAATTAATTTACTCCTTATATTTATCATTTTCACGTTTTGATTTATTTATAGATTTAGTTAAACAACTAACTGAATTTAAACTAAATAGTTTATATTAGTTGAAATAAATGACGTTTGTAAACATAGATTTCGATAACTTCGGCAATAAGGAATAGACAAACACGTAGACCAAGTGGTAAATTTGGCAAAATAGAGTGGATAACCTTAAACGTTGTAATTATAGGAATCTATGTTCCCAAACCTAACTTTTGCATTCAAAAGAAGTTTATACAACTACCCTTCCTTCTTGTATTTGTTGTTTAAATCTTTCCATTGGTGTTTAGGAATGTAACTGATTAGTCTCTTTTCGGCATATATACGGATGTATCCGACTGACGAGTCCGAATGGGACGAAACGCGCGTCCTAGATTCCACTGCCAACCACCATTTATTTATTCCTATAATTTTCTAATTTCTTTCACATTTGTATTTTTATATATTCTCAACACCAATCCTTCGATTCTTACGTAATTAAAATAATTTATTGTTGAAATTGATACATTGAACAATTTAAAATGTATTACACTTACTGAAATATGATGATGTGTTGAAGTAGTGACATGTCCAGTTGCAGCGGCAAATGCCGCACCTAATCGACCAATTATGTTATTTTGAAAGTTTACTCGCCAACTATCACTAACAGTACTATTATTATTAATAGATTTATTTGAAGTAGAATCTGATGAAATTTTATCATTAGTCAAATTATTGAGTACTTTGGAATTAGTATTTGTACTCGAATTATTATTATTATCATTCACTTTATTATTGATTGAAGAAGAACTAGTCTTAGATACAGTGTCGCAAAGTGAATTGCGTGGATTCCACTTTTTTACATTGTCAATTGGAATGGAGTGGTCTGATAGACTGATATCATTATTTCTTTGTTTATTTAGATGTTCAGCATCTATAAAATGAAAAAAAGGAAACCAATTAATAGTATAAGGATGGATGTAAGAAAAAAAGACAGTCAGTAGAAAGTTATCGCATCTACAACCATAAAAACTGATATTATAAAACCAAAAATATGATAAGAATGATCGAAAAGACAATTATAATTAATAATATAGGATTTTTACAAAGAATGTAAAATTTTACACATCTACCAAATAAGATACGATGAATAATCAATCAGTAACGACTATGAGCAGAAATAATATATTGCTTGATTTGATGCAAGATTCTCTGAAGCCAATAATGTTGTTTCGTAAGCTTGTGTAAGTGTGAAAGTGTATGGTAACTTTGAGGAGGAATATGTCAGTGACGAAAAACAACAAGGACAAATGAGTGAAAATGGAAAGCCGAAAAAAAATCAAGAGTAGATCAAACAAGTTTTTTTATTTGCTCTTCATTTTTGTCAGTTTTCGCCACCGTTTATGTTTATAACTAAATAAAGTTGTATACTGTTGAAAGTGTAAAAACATTTGATAGTTCTCAATTCCTTAAATATAAAAATTATTAACTTGGATTAGACTGGACAGAAAACAGGCTAGTACCGCGTAACTTTAGAGTTATAAAAATACTTGATTTAGGGCAGTAATTAGAGATAGTCTTTACGGTTCATATTCTGATTCATGAAGCTGAACAATCTAAACAAACATAGTGAAAAGTGCAATTACATACTGAGCCATTGAAAGGCAATTATTTAAGCAGTTTCCCGTGGTATTATTATATAGGATGGTAATACTGTTATATCCCCTGGCGAATTATGAATGGTAAATCTGAGGTATATTTATGGACAAATGTAATATGCCTATTCCCTATTGTATAGTTGTTAAATAACTGACCTAATCGTATTCGTGTTCCTCTTATCATAACCCTTATTTTGACCTTTGAACTATTATTATTGATTACTTTCCCCCTATCCACAGCCACATTAGCCAATTATTGTACAGATATTATTTTTCTATTTTTTGGTATAATTTGGTCTGTTTGGTTAGTATATAAACCCAGTATGCTCGTGAATAATGATTCATATTACCGAGGCTGTTATTTGTGTTCTGGACTCAACTGGCTGGGTTAGGCAGATCGCAGGATCGGTTAGCACTCTAGCCTGCTCGTTCGGGTTTCGAGTCACTGCTCCAGTCGATAATTCGCTGCTCTCTAATTGACGGTGTCATCACCTCATCCATCAACTAATAATCCACTCGGCCACAGATATAACAAATACACATAAAAGTATGCTTTATTAGAGCGTTTACATTCGCAGGCTTAGTGAAGTATAAAGGCACCGAGATCAGTTCAAGTTACTAATTGAATATTACTCACTTATTAGCTTATCCATCCATTCAATCATCACAGCTAGTAACATTAAAGCGTTTTAAATTGTTTATTAAAGAAATTCTTGCGTTTCCTAAAAAACGCAGTAGATATTGATGGCTTTTGAAGTTCTCAAGACCACTATTACGATAATTACTTTGCAAAAGAGAAAATGCTAACTACCTGTAAACAATATCCTAGAATCATCAAATATTTTACTATCCAGATATACAACTTTAACAATAGACTGTTATCACGATAAGTATTACTCATATTACGACAGTGACTACCTTTAATCTCATACACCCCTAACAGATATTCCCGATAAAACAAGACCATAAAGAAACAAAGAATCTCATTAACATCAAATAAATTTGCTGTTGCGGTGAGCAAATGCAACTGTTGTGCAAAGAAAATAGTTGTCAGTTGAAATATATAATCAGTTGATTGTGATGTACTGACGCTTCTTAAAATTGACTGATAACGATGCAGTTTACTTGAACAATGAGAGCTTAGTCTTTAACCTTAAAGCACAGTAACGAAAGTTTATGAAACAATAAATATCTGTATGGGAATTTGTGGAGATTGTGATATTTTCAAAATTGGATTCACGAGTCAATCTAAACTAGACCACCATCAGAAACATGGAAGCGCTGGATGACCGTTTCGTCTTAGTATTTGACTACTCAGCGGTGCACATCCACGATCCCGCAGACCTCAGACAATGGATAAAAGGTTGTGCAAGACCATAGATCGATTAAAGTTAGACATTAACACCGTTGGATACCGGCTCAGTAGTCCAGAGGTTAGGCGTTCGCATGCAAAACCGAATGTCCTAGATTCGAATCTCACGTGCGGGATCGCGGATGCGCACTGCTGATGAGTCCCATACTAAGAGGAGACGGCTGTTCAGTGCTTCCAAGTTTTGAATGGTTTAGCTTAGATTGACTTGTAAATCCAACTTTGACAATAAACAACATATTAAAAAAGCTAATTATTAAGAATGTTAATAGTCTATCAAAAATATGCATAAAAGTGCGGTAGATAATTTATCTGAAGATCGGATACAAGTTAATTAAGTTGTTTATTAACTAATATTGTTCATTTTTGAATTATCTATGGGGATTTTTAAACAACTAACAATAATACCGAAATCATAACAACTGATTTACACATTTCAAAACATAATAATAATGAAATAATAAGAAAAACAGAACTTTCCTAGTTGAATATTCTATTCAAGTTAAAAGAATTTCAATACTACTAATAATAACCATACATGGAAATATTTAAAAGAAAAAAATATAGTTTATTGAAAATGATAAAACGAGGCAGAAGTTCATTGAATCTTACGTAAGAAAAAATGGTAAACATGAAATGATATTTTAAGAAATAATGAATGAATCGTAGTGTTAACTTAATAAGAAATACAAAGGAAAAAAAACTACTTGATAAAATTGTTTACTTCACCTCCAACAGCGAAAAAAATATTTTCTTTTCATATCCCAATAATTAAGTGGGCGGTTTATTTCATAATATTCTTCTGTTTTATAGAATATTTAAGGCAATTAACTAGTCAATATTCACTATTGAGAGCTAGGAATTTGAAAGAAGTTGGGAGGAAATCATCCAGATAAATTCTACGCTTCCAACTATTTATAAGTGAGATATATTTTAAAAGATTTAGTATAGTGAATTACTATTACAACCCACCGATGGATTTGAATCATTGTCATTAAGTGAACAAATCAAAATTTTCAACAACTTGGCAATTATTCTACAAAACCAGCATGATATCAGGGTTTAGACAAGAAATTATCTGTAAGCACCCATTGGTCAAGTGATATGTTATAAATAGCTTAATCAACACTGACTCTATCAAACGTAAAGTAGAATTTAGTACATGTGTACACCGGTTCGAGTTGCCCAACTCCATTAGCACAGTAAGGTGAAATTATCAAAAAAAATCCCAAAGTAATATAGGTAACAACAGTATAAGTGAAAGTAGAGAAGTTTACACATGAAAGATACGATGAAGAAAGATAATATAGATTAATGTAATAAAAATATTCGTGAGATAACAGAAAAACTTCGGATATAGGGGGGCGATTTTAATAGACTTTTAGCCACATTATTAAAATTCCAACCATTAGTGACGAACCGCAACCAGGTAGTCTGCACCTACCCGTATGGCTCAGTCCAATAATCAGTGTCTTGATAGACTAATATCGTGTCATGGTTTGGCCGCCCTTAATTTCCTTCCAACCTACTCCTGCAACAGCAATCATTGCGCACCGAGGTAGTCGGTTGGTGGGCATAAAGTAATGCATAGCCTAGTCGTCTCAATCGATAAAGTTACACTACCTTACCAACCAATTCCCATCTTTATCTAGTATTTTGAGTCTAACTTCAACACTGCTAAATGGATGGTTCCGAAACACACGAGAAATGCTTCGAATGCACTTATGATTGAATACGATTACCCTAGGAATATCTTTTATTGTTAAAGACCATGTTTCATACCTTTAAAAAAGCATATAGCAAACTGCTGCTCAGAAAATTTGTTTAGATAGCAAACGGATAGTTTGCCTACCCCAAAAAGTGACATAAATTGGCAAAAGTCAACCGGACTTCCTGAATTCGTGCACGAATTTCGTCCGTCACTGACAGTAGTTGACTAGGAAAAAAGTGTGGTACAATGGGTATACAGGCCGAAATTGTCGAAATTCAGGGAAATGTTTTTAAAACTAGCCTCTTCATAAGAAAAAATTGAAGTGGAAGTAACGATATCTGTTAACTAATTAGCTTTCAGTCCCATTTTGAACATTACGTAGGATTATGTAAGCCATGAATCATACACTTTTTCAGATGCTTACTTAGGGAGTTGTTTACATGGGAGACAACAGGCGATCCAGAATTCGTTGAGCAAGCACTGGTGTTTGTTTTGAAAGCTGACAGACGTTTCGCTTGTAATATGTGATTTATGACTTTTTCATTTTTTATTGTTTTACTACCACTATTACTGTTATTTGTGTTCTGATTTGATTCTTTTTTACAAAACTGGTTATTCTTAAATGTTTGATTTGATGATGATTCAGTTGCAATTTTGTCTAACAGCACTGTATTTTGAAATTTGTTAATAACAGAGTTATCTGGCAAAGAAAATCGTGTCCTATCATCTATGTTAACAGAAGATAATGGTGATGTAGGGGAGGATGGAGACTTCTATGAAAAAAGAAAACAAAATTACGGATGTTGGCGATTAATTATGACGACAATGATTAAAGTAATCATCAAAACATGGGTGAACTAATTAATGACATAGGATAAGTAAATTTCGAAACATCAGGGGTTAGGTTATACAAGTTAAGGACACATACTTAGTGAATTCATGGAATAAGTCTTATTTTGGTGATGAGCAATTTAGATCAAACATTAAATCCTGAACTTAAAATTGTTCTCTTGTTGGGATTCATCAACAAAATAATTACCCAGAAATAAAGATGTATTCTTTAACACTTTGTTCAACGAATTTGGTAGTTAGGCATTATGTGCGTATTAATGACTATCTTCTACACGAATGGATTACTTAATTAAACGTTACAAAAATTGTACTGGTATTCACTTAAACAAGATATTAGCTGGACAAGTTCAACACGCAGTATTTTACTTATAAATTATGTTCACTTCAACACCTACTGAAATCATAAGCAAAGAGGGATAGTGGCTAGCAGTGGAATCCAGGACGCGCGTTTGGTCCTATTTGTAAATTAGTGCAATATCGAGGAAATATACACAGGATGCACGTATGCCAACAAAAGACTGATCGATTTCAGTCGTAAACATCAATAGAAAGATTCAAGTAAACAATGCCAACTGAACAGACTATAATGTTTACTGATTATATTTATTTCATTAGATGTAGTAATATATATTTAATTACCATTCAAAATAACCAGGTATAGAGTTAATTATTGTAGACATTTATCTAAATGATCAACATTTTCTGTACGTACATAGAATAAATAAAATACTACTTCAAAGAAACACTGGTTTATTTATCGTTTCAGGATGAAACGTGAATTTTCGTTTGCTCGCTTTTTAAAAAAAAGGAGAACAACATTCTCGAATCGATATGGAACAAGAATAAACAATGATATCGGAATAAAATGAACGGGACAACACGAAAAATAGAAATAAAATCAACTGTTTATTGTCTTACATCTTGCTCTTCTGTATTATTCTTCTTCAAAGATAAGACACTGGTATTTGGATTGGTAGCTATAAAATGTCGTAAACTGGATAATTTTTCTCTGCTTATTAAGCTATCCCGTCGATAATTGGACTGTTTGTTATCTTTAGGCTTACAGGGAAGAGGAAATAGAAAATAACAAAGACTAAATTAAAAAGTAATTAAAATTAAAAAAAACTATGTATATGGTCATAACAACAAGGACGATGAAACCCATTAATTAATACGAATAAAAAACGTGAACACAACAATATGTATAATTCAGTAATTAGTATGCAATTCAATACAGAAGATTAAAAGTTAAATAAACATTTCCCGTTAACAGTAATACACATGAATCGATGTAATGTCGAGCTATTTAAACTATTTGGGTGTAATACAACTTGATCGATAGACATCTATCAGAACTAAGATGAATTATACAAATGTAATATTAGTCACTATTCATTCAGTGAATACATTAATATCTTAACTATCCTATATATTTAGTTAAGATTTCGTGTATTTGAAAGAACCAATTCGAAATTAAGCTAGAATGCCTTGAAAAGAGTTTCCAGTTACAAACATCAGAATATTTTACTTAAATATAATATATTGTATTGTGAAATAAACATATTTAATAAACAATTTGATTAAATAGATAATACCATGATAAAATTGAAATATTGGGTTATCCACAAAAAAAGAACAGTTAGTGAATCGAGAATTATTAGCCGTGTGTATGAAGTAAAATAAGTTACAAGATGTTACACGATTAAATCACATTATTTGATGTAAAAACAGAAACATAACCGAATTACCTAAGTACTTAGACATACAGAGTAAATAACACTCGGGAGGGGTCTTTTTCAAGGATATGATGCGATAATAGGAAGATACAGTAGACAGAGGTAAACAGGTTGGTTCACTGTATAATAAATATCAAAGTCTGTAAGTATAGTCAACCTAAAATTAGTTTGTTCTGTTTAAACTCAATAAACTTTACTAACTTATCCAATGATGAAATATCGCTGCTTCTTTTTTCTTTTTTTAAACAATCAAATTAAAACAAATCTAACCATTATAGTATTACTGAATGGGTGTTGTTTCTTTTGTGGAGATAATGCTGAAAAATGGTTTTCTTTAGTTTATTCAATTTCTTTAAGCAATAAAATGACTTCAGTGTGTGTGAAACAGAATAGTGAAATATTTTTTGGAGAGTGAGGGTAGTAGAAATTTCCATTTTATTTTACTTAACTTCTTTTATCTATCCATTGACTACCACTCTTAGTTAGTCTCTCTAACATACACAGACAATACTTTAGTTAATGATCACATCACGTTCACTTAGAAATAACTCGTTTTCTTTGTTCTCCTAACAACAACAGATGATTATTTTTCCTGGGAATAAGCAATATATCGTTAAAAATAGGTACGTACGAATAGAATGAAAAAAATCCCTTTAAATCTAGCACACACAGTATCATTTACCTACCTGACTACATGTCAAATCATAAGGATCTTAATGAGAAAAAATAGAAATAAAAATAATATTGGTAGTAGATCATTTTACACTGAGATATCAGTAACTCATCAGTGTTTTCTTTTTTTTCTCTTTTCCCTCTCTTTTTATGGTGTAAAATTTTTTTAAATTTAATTTTATAAAGATGAATAGAAACAGTTGTCAAATGGTATTCCTGCTAAACAACTATTTCATGTTTATTGATATTCGAAACTGTGAATAAACTGATACATTTTCACATACCTGAAGTGAACACGATTATACGTATATGTTGGAGACGTGATCGATTCATAATAAGTTATATAAATAAAGGGCTATATCATACATATGGATCATTCAGTTGAAAGTAGTCACTATCAAACTATATAATCTTTAACAGATATCAGGTATTTTACCTACCGATAACCGTGTTTTTTTAAATCTGACAATTTAAATTATTTTTCAAGTGGATAATTTTTCTCATGAAATTGTCACCGTTACATGTTTAACTGGTAGGAACGAAGGTGGGTTTATATTGTATAGAAATTGTAAAGTCTATCACCATAGTCAATTATTTTAAGTAGTGATTAATTTATTTTCATATTCTACTGAAATGTGCAATTTCGAATTTTGCTTCTGTGTTGAAAGATACGCAGTTGTTGATTAGTGACAACAGTTAACAAGAATATGCAACGACCGTATGCTACAAAACAATAACTAAACTTCAAAAATATAAGCCAAAGTACAGAGCTGTGCATCTTTTGTTTTGTACAAAATTCAATTACTTGAGTTTACTTGTCGAATTACTGTCAAATAGTGTAAATACCCTCAAATACTATCTAAATTCATTGATTCACGAATAACTAGGCTTTAAAACTAATCATCATTGAATCGATCAATGTTAAACCACTCAATTAATTTTTATTCTTTTTGTTCGTAGATTGATGAAAATGACTGCTTTTACTGATTCTATTTTTTACTAATATAAATTTGGTTTAAGCTCATGGATGGTAAGAGCTTCAGCTATTTTTAGGAGTTGGATACGAAGGGATCTAATTAATTTGAACATATTTCTTCCATAAACAAATATTCTTACATAGATAATTATTCACCTTAAAAAGTGTAACATATTCTAAACAGTTATTCAAATGAGGATGTCTATTGTTTTGATCAGTAGGATATTTTTCACATAGTATAGAATTTAATTTAAATGCTAGTTAGTACATTACAAATTGGTATGTTACTGTACACTGGTGTATAATATATGGAATATATTCACCACTACCTAGGTATTCTGAATAAAATTGAAAAAAGGGTTAAGTTTAATTTTTTTGGGTGTCCTTTCAATCAAAAGTTACCTGTCGAATTTTGTTAAAAAGTTACTTATTTAGTATATTTCTGTTGTGGACAGATGTTATTCCTAAGGGTTTCTGTAACAAAACTTTATATTAAGTCAGATGTAAAATGTATTTTAATTTATGCTTTCTGCATTTCTCAGCTTTTGCAGTCTAAAAAAACACTAAAAACATTTATTTATTTTTAAAATAAATTGTTTAAGATGTATGTTGGAAGGTGTAGATTTTATGATGACAATAGTAATTGTGTATAAATATCAATGACAAAACTTGACTGAATAGTTTGAAACAAACTAAGGCTAGGGATGTTTCAGTGAGAAATAGTAGTATCATATTCTCAAAATCCCATAGAAATAGTGGGAAAAATGCATTCCTAACGTTTCATAACATTATGAAATACTTTGTTCAAATAATTCATAAAATCTACAAAGAAGAATTTTATATTCCACAAACTTGGGATATATCACCAGATAACCATAATATTCAGCCTAATTAAAATAACATTACACATATACTATCAAAAAATGACTGATTTCCACTATGAATCTTACATTCAAACATACCAAAACCATTGTGAATTATCACTTTTAACTTAGAAGATATGGTGCCGTTAAGTTTTGTCCTTTATTTGAATATATTTCACTGCTATTGTTGTTTCTTTATGCCCGATTAATTAAATCACGTGATACGACAGCCAATTTGAGACATCGACCTATACGACAAAATCAATGACTCATAAACCTCTACGAGCAGCCTAGAGTTTTTATTGGTCTCCAGAGATAACAGCTTTTCTCCTAACCCAGCCGGTTTAGTCCAGAACGCCAATACCAGTCTCCGAGATACGAATCATATATTTCAGACATACTGGGTTTATACACAAACAAACCAGACAGCATTATACCATAAATAGAAAATAACAATTATACAAGATCAAGCCAATAAGTGTCTGTGATTGTAAGAGACTGTTACTAATAAACTGGGAATATCTCAAGAATAGCAAATCGTATGATAATAGTCAACAGGCTAAATAAAGGTCTATAATGAAATGAATATACATATAATATAGTTACTTAACAGTCATACGATAAGAATATTCGTATAATATTAGTCCATAAGTAATTTCTAACGGTTACCATTCATTAATTCTCGTCCGGAAAAAAACAGTTTTTAAATTTTTATTTAAGTAGGAGCATTATTCACGTGTTTGAAGAAGCGGCTTCTATGAAGTTGCTAAGTATCGGAAATACTAACCTATATGTTGATGCCATCTTACAATTGCATTATTTTTATGATAAAATAGTTTCTTATTCATGTGAATTGCTCAATGACTGTACAGGCATGACATAATTTCATAGATTTATTTGTTCATTTGCTTCCTGAGATGGTTGTTTTTGTATTACGATACTAACATTTCCTTGTGAAATTCCAGATATAAGATATTGTTAGTACAATAGTAAGTATGAGAAAGGTGAGTAATATTGCTCACCAGGTAGATCAAATGAAAAATGGATTTTTTCTAAAAAATGTATTAACTATCTATTTATTGAATTTCTGATGTGAAGGCAACTGAACTAACCCCATAAAAGAGATATAAAAAGGAAACAGCATGTACTTTAATGCGTAATAAACGTTTAGGTCAGCAATTATTATAGAACGACTAAACCTTTGAAAATTAGCTCATATTATGCCTATTTGTGTTAACAGTGAGATATTTCCAATATCTGAAATATATGTAGTACAGGAAACTCCTATCTTTTATTCAATGGAATTTAAATATATCTTTTGAAGATAAGTAGTGACAGAAAATGACATTTATTCAGCGTGTGACATTTTCATAACATATTATTTTCTCTTCACGTCAAAGTGTCAACTTATAATCGAGAAAAAAGACCCAGTATTATATAAATATATGACAAAAAACCATATACTTACTTTAATCCAAGGATGTTGAAGGCATTCATTAACTGTAGATCTTTTTCTAACAAAAAATAGTAACATTTTGGAAATACAAATTATTACAATCATGATCATGATTCTTTAATGTATATTGAGCAGTTTTAGATAGCTCTATAATATATATGAGTGTAAAAATTATTATTAAGGGATATATCTAGTGACAGAATATTCTAACTATAAAATTTATGATGACTTTTGTTAAATTGTAGGCGCTTACAAACTACCATAAAAGCTTCTATTCGACTACTGAATTGAAGTGACTGATCTTACTCCAGTGAAATCTATACAGAGCATTCAATATAAAAGTAGCAAAGATATCCTTATCATTGATACTTTTACGATCATCACTATTACCGTTGACAACAAAAATCTACTAGTTGAAAGCCTAGTTACGATTCTTCACTGACCTGCTGTTATTATCTTTAAAAAAAAAGTAAGAATAAGTAGGAAAAAATACAATCATGTCCGTATTCATAAATTAACTGACTAAATGATTAATACTTAAAATACACTAAACGATCACAATTCTTGCATAGTGTTCTGTTCAAAAATACACATTTAAACATATTGTATTGTATTTTCAAACAGATCATATATTACTATGTTGGAATATTCACATTGCATTGCATTAATATAATGTCAGATTACAAAATACCAACTAACTCTATATGCGATTTAGCAAATTTGGTAGATAGAAAAAGTTTATCAATAAGCAACACTGTCAGTAAAACATTCAAACGACTAATAATTCCATATTTTAAACTCATTGAGTATTGCTTGTTTGAATAGAACGAAACGCACGTCCTGGATTCCACTGCTAGCCAACATCCATCTCTGATTACCAATTCCATATTTTGTTGTTATTTTAATTTTTGATTTATAAAAATCAATCAATTAATAAAGTAACCTTTATTCATTTCTGTATTGGTTGTTTGAATCTTCCCATGAATGTTTAGGACAGTAATTAATGAGTCTCATATTGGCATATGTGCATCCTGTACAGATTGCTTTAATATTGCTATTAAACATTATAAACGGAGATGATTTAACACAAACATAGTGAAGTCATAATTTGATAGTCTAGTTTTATTTATTTCTATCGCTAATTTATTTGTTTTCGTTTCTTTCTTATTTTTAAAGTTTCACGATTATTTTTATTTGAAATTAAAGTGGATAGGTAATTTTTTCTTTCTCTTTCCAAATAAGTTGAGTAGTAATTTTTATTAGACGGGGTTTTCGTGGAGATTTTAGTAATTTTATATAGCTGAGATCATGAGTCAATTGAAGCTAGTAATTTTTAATTAAAATTTATTTTATTAAAGAAATTTATCCGTTGTTAATTGAAGAAATAAAATTTTCTGTTTCAATTGTTTAAATGGATTTATTCTTTTATTGCATAAACATCCATGGTTGATGCGCACTTACATAGCTTGGAAAGTCTTCACATAATAAGGTGGAAATAAATATAGTCTAACATCTTGATACAGAGAAGACTATATAAAATGTTTATAATTGATTGATTACTGAGTAATGACCAATCTCATGTATGCTAATCAGATTCTATCGATCTAGTTGTCGTATGATCATTAGTCTAACTAATGCGATATCGCGTGCACTATGTTGAGATATAAGGTGGGGGTCAGAGTTAATAAAAAAGAAACCCTGAAATTGCTCAGAAATAGATATTTGTGCAGCGTTTGAGTTGTTGTTTGTTGGGGGTGGGGTGGGCAAATAATCAATGATATGGCTTCACAATTATCAACAATCAAATAGTTGAAGGTATATCATGCTTAAGTTATTTCAGTAATATCCATTTCAATAAACTTTTTCTATTTTCGTAAGATATTTCGTATGTTGTTTTATTCATTTGTTAAACAGTATGACAGTTTGAACTGGTAAATGATTTATGCTTGACAGTTTGTTAACTGAGGAAAACTTTTAGCAAATATAAATAGAGGGAATATATATATATATATATATATATATATATATATATATATATATATATATACAACGGTAGCGATTAAGATAATTAGTGACATTTGAAATAACAAGCAACAATAAATGAAACACATACATACATTTATGCATTCACACACATGCACACAGACATCCATGGAATAACTGGATTATTCATGTTCTTCTTCGTGTTATTATTATTATTATCCTTTTTATAATAACGAATGGAATGTGTTCAACATGACCTTCAGTCTAAATTTAATCAATAAAATAATTCTTTCACCTTGATTTTGTTAACTGTAAGAAAAATGTGCTAATTTCGATATAAAAAATTAATCAATTTAACAAATGTACATATGAATGGAATTTCTTTTATAAATGGGATAGACTGGTCATTTATAATAGAGTACGTGTATTTCGGCATGTGCACATGTCTACGGATTAGTAGTAGTATAGTATAGTATAATGAGAAAGTTATTAAAGAAAAGAGAAATTGTTAAACACAAAGCAAACATTCCCATATGATAGAGTTTTTTTTGTCAATCAATCTATTGGGCAAATTAAACTTAAACGATAGATAATCATATAATGAAATGAGATAACAACTATTGGATTCATTCATATGCATATATCCCATTGAACTTTAACAGGTTTTTCAAGATATGATTTAAATGAATAAATAAATTGTATATAAAAGAAGTACATTTTCACATTTTTCACAGTTCAAGTTGTAAAAGAAAAAAAAGAAACAAAGAAATAGACGAAGTCATTTTGTATAAGATAAAGATGAACATTTGACATATGGGAATGAGATATAAAAACAGTAACAACAACCAGAACAAAAAATGTTCTATTTTATTCAGTTGTTATCGAGTTCTAATCTTTTTTTTTGTTTATTTCATAAGTATTGATTCAATCAATTCTGTGTAAATGTAAAGCTTGCTATAATTTATTTAAAGATAAATAAACCGATAGAAATACATTCAATAATGTTTCATCATGTAGAATTTATTTTATTATTACAGTAATTTAGTTTCAACTGCCTCATACATAAAAACAAACAAACAAATAAATAGTTAAAAACGTGAGTCGATTGAAGCTAGACCATCAGGGAAAACCTGGAAGCACTGGACGTGACTGACTTCGAGAGGTAAGTCCAGGAGTTATACTGAGAAGCAGTAACCAGTGGAGTTCAACCACGTCTGTTGTGAGATAGGAACTCACTGAAGACAATTGGTCAACGGTTGCTCAACTTCGTGGATTGGTTGAAGTTAGACATTAACACCGTTGAATGCCGACTCAGTGGTCTAGTGGTTAAGTGCTCTGGCGCGAGACTGGTAGGTCCTGGGTTCCGATCTCGGGAGGCGATGTTGTGGATGCGCACTGCTGAGGAGTCCCATAATAAGACGAAACGGCCGTCCAGTGCTTCCAGGTTTTCGATGGTGGTCTAGCTTCATTTGACTCATGATTTCAAATGTGAAAAATACTAAATTCTCCACAAAACCCCCTCTGATTGATTAAATTTGTTAAATGAGTGTAATCAATAACAGGATTAAAACATTTATCCTATTTAATCAAAGGACATTTTAATGACATCATGAAGAATTACTGAGAGTATTCTGTTGTGATAGTACCTATACAAAGTAGACAGGAATTATTGATACTTAATTTAACTAAATTTTATCAGTATAGGGTTGTGGGGATTGTTGAGTTTTTAATTAAGATTTTGGACCGTTCGAAGTTATACCACTATTGAGAACCTGAAAACACTGAACGGCCGTTTCGTACTAGTACAGGACTCCTCAGTAGTGTTCATTAACACTGTTGGATTATGAATCAGTGGTCTAGAGGTTAAGCGTTCACGCTTGAGACTGAAGGTCCTCGGTTTGAATTCCGCGTGCGTGATCGTGAATGAGCACTGCTGAGAAGTCTAATACTGGAACGAAACGACCATCTCATGTTTCCAGGTTTTTGATAGTGGTTTAACATTGATCAGTTCATGATCTCAATTAAAAACGAAATTTTACTTTTGAATATCTACAGTGAATAAACAGAAGGAAAGTTACAAGAAAATGTTGAGTAAAAAAGTATAAATATGAAAATTAAAATACCGCTGGTTTTTTGTAAATGTTAGCGAAATCACATGGAGAGTGAAGTGAAAACGAGCTATCGTAAAAATATCCACGCAACATCACTTGAATAAATTAGTAATTAGTAAAAATGATGTAAATGTAATACTATAGGATTGGTAATTTAGTGATTTTGAACTATTGCACTTTAGGTACAAATTTTGAATCAATTACTTAGGTAAAAGGCGACCAATGAGTATTATCACTAATCCTTTTACACATAGTTTTTACCAAGGCAAAGTACAAAAATAAGTTTCGTAAGATCCACATAACAAATATATATATATATCAGTATTACCTGGGATTTTTCACCAACAGTTTCTGAATAAAATCTTTAGCTAGATCACTAACATTTTGCATTTCCTCTCTTGAATAATCAACAATACAATCGAGAATATTTTGAAATGTTTCAAGTTGTGTATCTCCAGCAAAAGGTGAAATTCCAGTTAATCTGTAGAAAAAAATAAAACGAAAGAGAAAAAGGAATAAAATAAGTCAACAACAGTGACTGTGAAAACAAATAGTGATTAATGACCAAACAAGAGAAAATGAGAATAGTCTTGTTTTTCTACCATTACGAAAATACATGGTTGGAACACGTGATAAAAATTGATTTTAACCTAGCCTTTGTCATTTCACATAAAACTTGTCTATGATAAACACTTAGATTTGTTGAAGCATGAATCATGTAAGAATTCAACTCCTATCCCGCGACTATGTGTGCTCAAAAATAATATGTACTTGTACTAACCCTAACCTAGCAAACAATAGATTTATTATCTAAAGTGATATGATTCATATTGTTTTTTCCCTATTATTTTTGTTTTTCGTTATCTTCAAATTTTTCAAATCTGATCTTTGTTTTCCAGATCATATTACTCAAAATGCGCTGTGCCCATATGCGTCTTCTCATTATCTTATCTAACTTTATCTTAGGAACTAACTTATGCGAATATTCGTCAGAATTCGAACAAATAATTTATCGAAAATTTGGCCCTCAGTATAAAAGTGATATTATATATAAAAATTTTATTTGAACTAATCTCAGGAACTGGAATTTAAATGATTACAAAGTTTTCCCCGACCAAACTGGCTTGAGCTTTTTCAGGATAATAATCAGAATTCTTAAAGACTATAAAAACATTAGGAAACAATGAAAGTAATAAATGGTATTCTTGAAAAGAAAAGAAGGAAACAAGAATATACATAAATGATACGACCATATATATGTAACAAATAAGTTAAAAGTGAATATGTATACAAAAAGAGAAAATGAAACGAAAAAATTATAATGTGACAGAGTAACAACAAGAAACGATGAAATCCATCATATGACTTTTCTTCAAAAGAAAAAAACGGAGGAAAAAGAAACACCAATGAATAATGAATCTCAATAGATAAGAGAAGCATGTAGCATATAATAATTTTAAAAAAAAAGCGGTATATTACATCAATTACAGAATAATTGTTTATTACAGTCATTAAGAATTCTTTTTTGAAAGGTAATAAATATCACAAGTGTATCGTGTACACAAGATTATCATATTTACATATTTTAATAGGAATTAGTTACACAATTCATTGTCATTCACATGAAGTTATCAAGCATGCTGAACATTTTAGAGATTCATAAACAAAATGAAGTTAACTACAAATCAACATATTGTTCACAAAATGTTCACTGTATATCATCAACATGAATACAGAAAAAAAATAATTAATTAGAACTTAAATTAATGGTATTATATAACTTTCTATACTTATATTTGAATGAATTACACTCAGAAAACGAATGAACTCGAAGGTAGGTAATCAAATAAGTTGAAACCAACGATAATGAGTAATATATTAAACAGTTCGGTAAAATAAGATTAGTAAGTAATATGCCGACATAGTAACAATATTTTGTCATGACAACAACCGGTAGAAACGTGATAATTATTTTATTTTATTTATTTATCTAAACACATAAATAGTGGTGCAAGGGGGCACCAGATATATATGTGGTAATAAGGATTATTATATCTCTAGAATCAAGTTAAAATATTTACATTTCAAATACAGTAGCCTATTACAATTACTATTAAGACATAGTTGAATTTTCGGAAATCAAACTTAGTAGAAATATATATTTAAATTTTTGAATAATTTACAATAACTATTGATTGTAGCTAATATGTGATAATCGTAAATTATGTAAATTTCCCTAGGATGAATCAACATTAGTTTTAAATCCGATCATAGCGATATTCTCAATATACTTTCATATTTCTATCAATATTACAGTTACAGTGATATGAAGTATTAAGCCTTATAGTTAGGCAATAATTCCATCGTTGAAGGAATAGCTTACAGTTTGCTAAATGATTTCCCGTCATGTTTATTCTTGTTCCCGATGTTTTCTGCTTAAATATGTTATTTTTTTTTAAGAAAAATTATATTGTGCAGGCAGGTGTATTATCTTTTGGTATCAGTTTAGTTGGTACTGATACCACCGATTTGATCTTTTGAAGCAGCTATTACTCAGTGACAAACTGTCAATCTATTTTATCTATCGACCAGTGTTAAATTTATTCATTTTAATATTGCAAAACTCATTCAGTATTCATCATAAAATCGTAGTGGACAACAAATACGTACAAAGTTAAACACATTAACTTCCAAAGTAGAAGAAATCAGACTTCAATTCTGCATAATGGTTTACTTTTGTAGACAAGGCAACTAGTATTAAGATGAAGAAAAACATATGATATATGACAAGAAATGTGATGTTTGTATGCGATAACAAAATAATGTAAAGTGTTTAGATGATAGATAAAAGAAGGGACTTTCCTACTTAAAAGCTTCTATGAATGTTAAGTATCATTACCCAAAGTTTGATTAGTTAATTTCAAATAAATTGAGCATTAGATAAATTGAAATTATAATTGTAAAACTCCATTGAGTAGAAAATGAAATTTCTGACGTTTCATGTTTTAATGTAAACCATTTTTACAGAGAATAAGAATAAATAACAAAATTACGTTGATGAAAGTTTAAATAGTCTAACAGGAAACAAAACAGAATATTTTTAACAAAGCCAAAATTGAAATAAATCTGATCATATTATTTCGATTAAATTTATTCTGGGTGTATTTTTTTCTTTTTGTATGTTAATAGATATGAATGAGTTAAAATTTTGAAAAAAAATCTCTACAGTTTTATCAACTGTTGATTCTAGAAATAAAAAAAGATTTTTATTAAGAAACCCACCCTAAAAGGAATGCTTTATCGATGTACTAGTAAGAATAATCACTTAGATTATCTAAAGTTCAAAAGATATTGACATTTGAGTACAAGAAGTATTATTCTACTAACCAAGTATATAGGGTATATATATATATCAGTAGGGTTAATTTACTCAACGATAAACTAAGAACGCTTATTTCAACTTGTAGAAAATAGTGTCAACTACAGTTAGGTGCCTAAATACTTAAAATATTTCATTCTTAGCAGCTACAAAATTACAGTGTACAGACTTATTATTTATTATCATTTTTCGAGTACCCTTTCAAAAATTAAAAAAAAACTACACTTAAATAGAGGACGTAGTACCTCAAGATAACGATTTAAAATACCTGACAGAGAGACTTAATGTGAAAAAACTCTATTCAATGAATGCACAAACTATTGTCATGAAATTTAGAGCATTTCAAACATATTTCTCTGTCGACCTTAAGAAATTCTCAACTTTAGGTTGCGTACTTCTTCCGATTCCATTTTTATTGCCAAGAGCCCTGAGAAGCCAGACTACTAGGTTGTTTAGTCGTCTTACGTGTTCCTAGAGCCCTGTATACAGACGATTTACCTGGATTCGTTTTGCCAGTAAAATCGGGTGTTGCAAAACACAACAGACCATATAAATTTGATTTTTATTTATTAAAACAGGAGTTCGATAGTTACACCGACTTTTCGTTAACCTCAATCTTCATATCTCTCACTAAAATACTTTATCCACTTAAAAGTAGCTATTTTCTCCAACCTATTATCTTCATAAATAGCTCTTAAAATCTAATGGAATTCCTAGGAGTTTTTAAAAATTTTCACCTTTATTAGTTTAGCCCATTCATTTTCTAGCCAGAATGCATACATACATTTTCAACGTAGCCACTTATGAAAAACAATAATGACAAGATATATACATAAATGAACATTTTAGAAAATTTCCATTATTGAGGATAAATCTGAAAAAGAATTTATGCATGCGTCAAAAGATACGCCTTAATACATTTTACATGATATACCATATATATATATATATATATATATGCAAAATACTAACAGGTGCTGTGATGATATCAAGGTCATGAAATTCTTGAGGGTGAAAACTAAAAAAAATCGGTAATTAAACTTTAAATAAACATGAAAAATGCACACTTCATTTATCCGATTTTTTTTTAGAAACACAAACAAATTATGGATTTTTCAAATAGTTATGAAAAAGAAAATTTGACAGAATTTCAATAAAATGGGAGTTTGTGGAAAATGTAGTAATTTTAATAGTTGCATTCATGAGTGGAGTTCAATCAGTATCGACCAGAGACAGGTATCTACATCAGACAGTGGATGAATGGTTGCGCAAAATCATGAATCGATTGAAGTTAGACATTAACACCGTTGAAGGCCGGCCCAGTGGTTTAGGGGTTAAGCGTTCGTTCAAAAGACTGAATATTCTGGGTTCGAGTCCTACATATGGGAGATCGCGGGTGCGCACTGCTGATAAGTCACATACTATGAAAAAAGGCCATGCAGTACCTTCAGATTTTCAATGGCGGTCTAGCTAAAATTGACTAATAAATTCAACCGTTAGAAATAATTAAACATATACACACAAATATAAACTCAGTTTACATATGGGACAAATTGGCAGGAATATAACTATTTATCATTAAGCAATGGATAGTAAGTTGCGAGGTTGATTCATCCTTTTTAACGAAAATAATTATTGAAGTTGTTAGCTAGAACCGTGAAACAGTTTCAACTACCGGTTTCTAGTGTCATAGATTGAAAACTTGTAGAATAGTGCCAGAAAACGTTTATTTTCATATAAGTCAATATTGACCGTTTATTACAATGAGTAAATAGACATAACAATCGTACAGATAACACAGCTTACAGTATCTATAAATACGCAACTGAAACGATCTGCTATTATCCTGCCTAGTGATTAAAAGAAAACGATGAACATTTGAATAGTGTTGTTCATTGTGATTTCAACTTTACTGCTTAACTACAGGTGTATTTATGTCATTCATTGGACTCAACGACTGTTTCTTTCAAGTGGTGTTGTTATATGACGAAAATCGTCAACATGGTAAATTGATATGCACAAACTATCTGACTAAATAGTAATCGAGTGTACACTAGTGACAAATTTCGAGATGGTAGTGAGGCAATCAACAGCTGATGAGA